ACAACAACAAATGCAGGTCAAAATAACAAGTGTAGAGGAAGCCTCTGCATCAATAGGCCCCAACATACACAAGGGAAAGATCAAGATCTTGAAATCCAACACAATCATACTTGATGGCGAAGCCCTGGAAGAGGTGAAAACCTACACGTACCTGGACATATTCACCGATAAACAAGGCGGATCTGATGTAAATGTGAAGGTAAGAGCCGCTTCCCTACAATTGAAGAACATATGGAACTCACGAGAAATTATTCAGATTAAGTTCTTTTTGGTGAGAGCTCTTATGTTGAATAAATACCAGCTGGAAAATCCAGTGGGGAGAATGAAGTATTTATTAAACATTTCGGCCTACTTTACTTTACAATGGCTTCCCAGCTGATCCCAGTTCATGACAAAAATTGTCATTACATAACAAATGTTCATCAAATAATTTCAGACTCAAAATGAAATGTGTAGTTTCTTTATCAATCTGTTCAACATATTTTCGTTGTTATTTATCCGTGACTTTCAATGGAGTTGAATCTGTCCAAAACTAAAAGATTAGATATCATGTTCAAATGAGAAACGAAATATCTATTAAATTATCGCACTGATTTATGGCTATACCATGACTTAATATTAATTTTAATTTTTACAGGGTCAACCTACCATCTTCATTAACAGTGTAATTTTAAAAAATTCAATTAGTTGATAAGTTTATCCGTTATTGAGAATCAAGTATCTTAATAAAGCAATTCAAATGATATTAGGTACAATTTGTGTGATAACACGTATAATAAGGAGAGAAAAAAGACTAACAGTAACTCTCAGTGAAAATATTTCGAATATATTCTATTTACTCACTCAACTATGTGAAAGCTGTATCTTTCGTTTTGAAGAAATTAACAAATCCTCATTTTCAAGTTAGTCCGCAAACAGAAAACAACATGTCACTGACAATGATAAAAATAATTATATATCCTTTGGTAGAATCGTGATTTTTAACATATAATCAAAATTTGTCATTATCATGATGATCTTGAATTAGCTAGTGTAGCAGGGAAAAATAATTAGTTTTAGAAACAAGAGTTGGTTTGATAGTTACATGATGAATTTCGGTGTAAGAATCATGAATGATTGATAATTACCGTAAGAAGTGATTGGAATTGTGTCTGACATTCCATTGTGGTTTTAGATTAATCTTTTACTGATGATGATATCTAACTATTTAATTCTTACTCTATTTCTTACTACCATAAACGCTCCCAATGAATTTGAAGCTGATCACTGAACATACGTTTTAACATCAAAAGTGCGAAGATGACTGAACAGCTATTTCGTACAGGTGTGGGACTCCTCAACAGTTTATACTCACGACCTAACCTGGGATATGAATTAATATCCTCAAATTTCTCTGTAAACAGTTAAGAAATAATGCCACTGAGTTGACTTTAACTTCAATCTATAGTAAACAGCCTTAAAACCAAATTAATTATCAAAAAACATTTTTGACCGAATTATAAAACTCAGCTTACTAATGGCTTACTTCATGATGTTCCAGAAGTTACCCTCAGAAGTTGGATTGGTGGAATTCGTGCTTGTTAGAAGTGAAACAACTGTCGTTCGCAGCGTAACATCACAAACTGATTAAGGCTGATATTGTAACATTATAATATTCACAAGGAGACACGAAGATCCTGATTTTTACACTATTGATGAGTCCCATGCTAGTATGAAACAACTGTTTAGTGTCCTTCGATTAAGTGAGATCAATCTATGACAAATACAGCCTACAGATTAAATCAGTACCTTTCAAGCACGTTGGAGTTAAGGTTGATAAGTTTTAGTAATTCGGTAATTTAACGATAACATTGAAAACTTATTGATCTGACTGGTTTATTTGTACATTCAACTGGTCGTCTACTTTCATCTTGATTAACACATATGGCATTATTATCCTTTCACTTATGAGTAACAAGTATAAACGATTTAAATAATCCACATTATTATCTTTTCGGCGACAATATATTCTAAACGAAACTTAAGTCAGATACAACCACTTCGATTATATATCAAAGCAAAAAGCTATTACTACCTATGAAATACGTCTTAATCATTAGACGGAAACTTTATAAAGCACCAAACATGATCAGTAATTAAATGGTGGTTGGAGGTAGTTGACATGAAACCCTGGACCCGGGTTTCGTTCTACTTGGCACTTGTCAGCAAGGTGTGCCTGTAATCTTGAGCCAACTGGTGCTGCCTGGCTGATTCGACTACCTTCAACCACCATATAACCTCAACATAGTGCACGCACTGCCGAGTCACCTAGACTGGTGGCCACATCGCAACTTAGTCGATAGCATTCGAACTGCACTAAGAAGGACTTGATATACATGACTTTGATCACCACCCAGTGATCAATTAGTTGTGATGATCAGTAATAATTATGTTGTTTAATTTTAGATATGATAATTATTTTCATTGTAAGATCGATAATTATGTAGTGAAACTTTTAGTGAATACGAAGTGCTTACTTTAAATTGTTCACACTTCATAAGGTTCTTCTTAATCAAATAAAAAATTTTGATCTCTTACAAATAACATAAGATTACTAGGGTAAAGTCTAATAATAAAGGACTTGTTTGAATGTTATATCTGTTGTTAGCACCTAACCATAATTTCTAGTATTGATCACTGAAAGATGCATTTGGTTCCATTTTGAAATGAGCATATAGACGTAACTCTGATGATAATGTCAAGCTGTAGAAAACTTGTAAATTATTCCTCAGATCTGTTTGAGTAGCCGAGGAGTTTTTTTCAGTTCGATGCATATTACATTGAAAATTCATTCACAGGATCTTAGGTTAATTAACTACTAGGGTTTTTCCAGTCACTTTGTTGTGATGAACATTATATGCAGATGCATTTTCATTTGTGTTAATATTAACATCATGAATTGGATGAAACACAAATATCTCACGTATACTAGACTACAGACCATTATGCAAAAATTCTTGTATCAAATAAAGTTGACCAACGAACCCTCGTAAAAACTAGACAGATAAATACATACATTGAATTATAAACTGAATAATTTAACTCTTTAAAAACAGAATTGTTTCTTATCTATGTGAAATGTATAACATTGTTTATGAATCTTCAAGAATATTATGATTTTTTCAAAATTGTACATAGACTAGACATAGAAAGCTATAAATGACTAAAATAAAATATTCTTGACGTTACATTGATTTATCGTTCTCCTGAACGACACCATCAGCACAAACTTCAGGTAGAAGCTTGTCCTGTAGACTTCGATGTCGACTGGTTCTTGTTGACCTTAAACCAATCAATACTGAGGTCTACGGGACAAGCTGTGAACCACATGTGGAGAAATTCGAACTCTTCACTTCTATCTGAAGTTTGTGCTGATGATGTCGTTCGGAGGAACGATGAAAGCTCCACGACCAAACCATCCAGCTCAGAGGACAAAACTTCATCAAAATCATCCACCTGAGCTAGAAATCTTCTCCACCATCTCAGTATTTCAAGAATCCTATGATCCTCATCATTATACGAAACTTTCACGAAGAACTGACTTGCATAGTTGTTTAAAGAGAGCAGTTGGCAGATCCATTGCAATGAAGGCGGGTGTCAGACAAGGACACCTACGCTCGACTTCTTTTCTCTTCATTCTGGATATTGACTCGATTATGAGAGAAGCTATACAGCTCTAGAGAAGCACAGAATATAGTGAACACCTTAGACTCAGCTGGATTATTTTAACTTGACAGACGATTTAGCTCTTTCACTCCATACGCAGCAAAAAAATGCAGATGATTACTGTGTAGCAACGGTATCCACAGCAATAGGCCTAAGGATTCACAAGGGACAAACAGGATCCTGAAGTACAGCATAAAGAACACTAACCAAATAACAACTGTTGGAGAAGTTCTGGAAGAGGTGATAGCCTTTATGTTTTTGGGTAGCAACACTAACAAACAAAAAGACCTAATCCCGATGCCAAAGCATGAGTTAACATGGCAAGAGCAGTATTCCTACATTTAAAGAATATTCGGAACTCAAAACAACTGTCTCAAGGAAAAATGTCAGAATTTTTTATACAAACGTCAAAATAGTTCCATTGTACTGAGCTGAAACCTTGAGAGCTGCGACAACTATGATCAAAAAGGTTCATGTACATGTATCATAAACAGGTGGCTTTTCAACATACTGTGTAGCAGTTGGGCAGACAGCATCAACAATTACCTACTGTGGTAGTTTAAAAATCAGCTAGCAATTAAGAAATAGACTAGAAAAGGATTTTGGATGTGTACAGGACATACTATGCAGAAACCATTTAATTGCACCAAGAGCCAATCCTCCACTTGGAATCTTCAAGTTAAAAAGAAAAGAAGGAAACTAAAGAATGCATTGAGCAGGAAATCTGAGGCAGACATCCAAATAGTGAATAACACGTGTCATCAACTCGAAAAGAGAGCCCAGGAAAGAATTAGTTAAAGGTCCCTGGTCGGCGACATATGACTCCAGAGGGCTGAGGATAAGCTGCACTCTCGTTCATAAAGTTGATCTTGCACCTGGCAACCAACCTAAAATGAAAGGAGAATTATTATTCATACTATCGTAGTTAATGCTGAAGAGCGGGTTACAGTGTCTCGTTTTGTTGGCTTATATGAGAAATCTAAAGTTTCCCACAACGAAAATGACAATTCATCATGCTGATTAGGTGTCGGGTGTTACACGGTCAGTCGTGACGAATAAAAAAATCACAACATAGCAAAAATCATACTTCATATAAATGCTATTATGGAAATTATTCCAAAATGTCTACGAATGACTAAATAAATGAAAACAAAACCTTAATCACTGACCGCGACACACGTAGATGACTTGACAGCGTGGAGTTTGTCCCCATCCCACCTTAGAGAGGTAAAACCCTTGAGTGTGTAAGTAAGTAATAATCATGAATTCTGTAACCGTAGAAATAAAATAATATAATGATATCAATCCTTAACACTAGTGGTTGGATAAATTCAACAACATTTTCATCGTGCGTAAGATTTACCTTTTTGATGAAAATATCTAATAATATAATAAATATCATTCAAATAGACCTTCAATGGCGTTATTTGTGTGCAGTTAAAAATCCTCTTTACGTGAACGTCATAATTAAAAATAGTTTGTGTTCTACCGCCCGACATTTAACTTTAAGACGTGTACTTTGCTAGTTCATTTAAATATAGGAAATTAGAAGATCCTCAGTCATGAGTGTTTAGAACCGCTAGATGTCTGACCATCAAAATAGAATGCAAAGAAACAATTTAGATGATTTTGTATTACGTTTGATAAATTATTATACTCTGGGACTGTAATAAGAACAGGATCTGATATCCTGATAAAGTATGTTGCTGCACTAAGCTAATATACACTTTCGTAACATTTGCCTAGATTAATTAAAAGCAAAGGCTGTATAAAAATCTGTACTGCTCAAAGATGAGTCATAACTGTTCATAGCTCTTGTGTATTTATGGAATCCCAGAATGATCCAGAAAAACAACAATTAGGTAGCTCTCGTGGATAGGTGAATGATTCATTAACATATTTGCATCTCTCTTACCGTGTGAGCCAAATGTATAGTGTATCACTTTATAGTTTGTATAGAATCTCACTATCTATGCATTTGTTTTAATAGTTATTTCATCAATTTTAATTGTTTTAGACAACCACTATACGATGACGTCTGTTAAACAGATTTACCAAGTAAAAACAACTGTTGATGTAACATGAGGTATTATAAACATTATTCTCAATGAAATAGTGAGTGTTTCTTTGAAATTAAATACGCACGTAATACAAATAGAAAACACAATATCAAGAAAAACTTATTTCTTTTTATCAGCTTAAAAATAATCAATAAATTCCAATCTCATTTATTATGATTCTTTTCATCACTTAAATACAAATGAAAATTACATTTCATTTAAATCGTTATTAGTAATAGTTCAAGTGAATCCACTGTTCATAACCATAGTGAATTTTTATCAGTCTTTGTTAGCGTAAATGAATGCTGGACATTTTATCATGTGTTTTATTGATTAGATGGATTTTGGCTAGCAGTATAACTAAAGATCCGCATTTCTTATTGCTTGGGACTCGTCGTAAGCTAGATATACTTGCATTCCAGTTTTGATGTTCGCTTTAGTATCACCATACAGCATCTTTCTATTCAAACATCAATGCATTATCCACTGACCTAATAAATTCAAATAATCGTTATTTTTCTGCACCGAACGCATGTATGTTTAAAAAAAGGCTGATTAAGATTCAGTTCTGAATATCAACAACCAGATAATTCAATTATATAAAATAATAACATAAGGTACGGTCAGGACGTTAAGCCACAAGTTTTCGCCTGCATGTTACATATTGCCGAGGATTTTGGGATGTCGTTATTCATCAGCTATTAACAGCATTTTATCAGTCACACATCAATTTTCATAATGTTTGTACTTGTTACATAGCTTTTACTCCAGATAATTAGCAGTTTGAAGTATCTGTTGCTCACAAACTGGATAAAAGTTTAGTCAGCATAATGTGCTTATTTGAAACAATGCAATCTGAGGCAAGTGAAATTCATCATTTAACAAGACAAAATTAGACTGCAATCAAAGTTCTATACCACGACACCACGACTACATTAATAGATAGGAAAGATTCATGGGAAGCATATAGTCAAAGTTCACCAATTTGATTTTCTTATTCTTTTTATGAAAATGAGATTTAATAAATAACAAGACAGTTGGATTTATTTTTCGCAATCAACAAAATCAAGTTGACTTAAAATGATAAAAAATCTTCAAACTTTGACAAATAAAAAAAGGTTTCTAAATTTGTTTTATATGATGATGACTACGATGATGATAACGGTGATGATGATGATGATGATGATGATGATGATGATGATGATGATGATGATGATGATGATGATGATGATGATGATGATGATGATGATGATGATGATGATGATGATGATGATGATGATGATGATGATGATGATGATGATGATGATGATGATGATGATGATGATGATGATGATGATGATGATGATGATGATGATGATGATGATGATGATGATGATGATGATGATGATGATGATGATGATGATGATGATGATGATGATGATGATGATGATGATGATGATGATGATGATGATGATGATGATGATGATGATGATGATGATGATGATGATGATGATGATGATGATGATGATGATGATGATGATGATGATGATGATGATGATGATGATGATGATGATGATGATGATGATGATGATGATGATGATGATGATGATGATGATGATGATGATGATGATGATGATGATGATGATGATGATGATGATGATGATGATGATGATGATGATGATGATGATGATGATGATGATGATGATGATGATGATGATGATGATGATGATGATGATGATGATGATGATGATGATGATGATGATGATGATGATGATGATGATGATGATGATGATGATGATGATGATGATGATGATGATGATGATGATGATGATGATGATGATGATGATGATGATGATGATGATGATGATGATGATGATGATGATGATGATGATGATGATGATGATGATGATGATGATGATGATGATGATGATGATGATGATGATGATGATGATGATGATGATGATGATGATGATGATGATGATGATGATGATGATGATGATGATGATGATGATGATGATGATGATGATGATGATGATGATGATGATGATGATGATGATGATGATGATGATGATGATGATGATGATGATGATGATGATGATGATGATGATGATGATGATGATGATGATGATGATGATGATGATGATGATGATGATGATGATGATGATGATGATGATGATGATGTGATGATGATGATGATGATGATGATGATGATGATGATGATGATGATGATGATGATGATGATGATGATGATGATGATGATGATGATGATGATGATGATGATGATGATGATGATGATGATGATGATGATGATGATGATGATGATGATGATGATGATGATGATGATGATGATGATGATGATGATGATGATGATGATGATGATGATGATGATGATGATCTTTGCATTTTATATTTCGTAATTCATCGAGTTTGCCTGTAATATTTCCTTTCTTATATATGCCAGAATCATATAACGGCAAGGACTCCGGGTCGTCCCAATTTTTCTAAGATTAAGTTTACATCTCGCAATTCTTTTCGCTTCCAGGTACACAGAATAGGATGCCCGCGACCAAAATTATTTCCAAAACTTACCCACACCTTGCAAATGTTTCCTCAAAATAGGGAAATTAGGAAGTTTCGACGCCAAAACCGATTCAAAGTGTTCACTACAAAACAGAGAGAACTGAATTAATGTTCTTCGCAATAATTTTTTGGGTTTGCTGCGGCGAAAGACCACTTAAATATGAGGACACCTGACATTCGTGAAACCTGATGGACACCCAAAAATCCCTCATCATTTGAAATGCGGAGTGACCGCCTGTTGTGAAGCCGTTCAAAGTCGTTGAAACGGAACGGCGGGCAAATTTGAAAGGTTCTGACGTTTTCCCGCGCCATAATATAAGAATCATATCTGTTGATCAAGTAATGGCTATTTGGACTCAAGAGCTCGATGGATGATGAATCGATATTTAAAGCGAAATCTTCGGTCGAGTCCAAGTATAAATATCAGCATTCAGATCTAAGTACATCTAGCTTGTGACGAGTCCCAAGTAGGTAGAAATGCTTATCTTTAATTCCACTCATAGACAAAATTTATCCATTAAAAAATAACTGTAGTTGTTGGTGCAATTAACTGAGCTCCGGTTACTTACTTACTTACTTACGCCTGTTACTTCCAATGGAGCATAGGCCACCGACCAGCATTCTCCATCCCACTCTGTCCTGGGCCTCCTTTTCTAATTCCATCCAATTCTTGTTCATCTTTTTCATGTCCATCTCCATTTCCCGGCGTAATGTGTTCTTTGGTCTTCCTCTTCTCCCTTGGCCTTGACGATTCCATGTGAGGGCTTGTCTTGTGACGAAGTTGGGTGCTTTCCTCAATGTGTGTCCTATCCACTTCCAGCGCTTCTGCCTGATTTCTCCCTCCGTTGGAATCCGGTTTGTTTTCCCCCACACTAGGTTGTTTCTTATAGTGTTTGGCCAACACATCCGAAGTATTTTGCGTAGACAACTGTTAATAAACACCTGTATTGTCTGGATGATGGTTTTCGTAGTTCTCCAGGTTTCCGCCCCATACAGTAGAACTGTCTTGACATTTATATTGAAAATCCTGATCTTGGTGTTGGTTGACAGTTGTTTTGAGTTCCAGATGTTCCTCAGTTGTAAATATGCTGCTCTTGCTTTGCCGATCCGCGCCTTCACATCCGCATCAGATCCACCATGTTCATCAATGATGCTGCCCAAATATGTAAAGGTTTTTACATCTTCCAAATTTTCTCCGTCAATTGTGATTGGATTGGTGCATGCTGTGTTGTATCGGAGAACCTTGCTCTTCCCTCTGTGTATATTGAGACCTACTGCTGCTGAGGTTGCTGCTACACTGTTCGTCTTCTTCTGCATTTGTTGTTGCGTTTGAGATAGAAGGGCCAGATCATCCGCGAAGTCCAGATCGTCCAACTGCATCCTAGATGTCCATTGAATCCCGTGCTTCCCTTCAGATGTTGACGTCTTCATGATCCAGTCGATCACCAGGAGAAAGAGAAAGGGTGAGAGTAAGCAACCTTGCCTAACACCGGTCTTCAGTTCGAACGACTTTGTCAACTGTCCTCCATGCACGATTTTGCAGTGTAATCCATCATAGGAATTCCGTATGATATTGACTATCTTCTGAGGCACGCCGTAGTGTCGAAGAAGTTTCCATAGTGTTGTTCTGTCCACGCTATCAAATGCCTTTTCGTAGTCAACGAAATCGATGTAGAGTGATGAATTCCATTCAATTGATTGTTCCACAATGATCCGTAGAGTTGCGATTTGGTCTGTACACGATCTATCCTTACGGAATCCTGCCTGTTGGTCACGAAGTTGGGCGTCTATGCAGTCCTTCATCCTGTTTAACGATACTCTGTTAGAGACCTTTCCCGGTATTGAAAGAAGAGTGATGCCCCTGTAGTTATCACAGTTGCTGAGATCGCCTTTCTTCGGTATTTTGATCAAAAGTTCTTCTTTCCAGTCTTTTGGTACTTGTTCCTCATCCCAAATCTTATTAAAGAGAATGTGGAGTATCCTTGCAGTTGCCGCTACGTCTGCTTTTAGTGCCTCTGTTGGAATGTTGTCCGGTCCTGCTGCTTTGCCACTCTTGATTTGTCTGATGGACATGCTGATTTCTTCAATTGTTGGTGGGCCAACGTTGATTGGGAGGTCCGTGGGTGCTGCTTCGATGTTGGGTGGGTTCAGTGGAGCTGGTCGATTCAAGAGTTCTTTAAAATGTTCTACCCACCTGTTTTGTTGCTCTTCAATGTTGGTGATTACCTCACCTTCCTTGCTTTTCACTGGTCGTTCTGGTTTGCGGCGATTTCCAGAGAGTTTCTTTGTTATGTCATACAGTTGTCTCATGTTCCCTTCTCTTGCAGCCGTCTTTGCTAGATCTTCCACGTATTTACGTTTGTCGGTTCTGATGCTCTTCTTCACTTGTTTGTTTACTACTGTGTATTCAGCTTGTGCCTTGGCTTTCTCTGCTCTTGTTCGGCTGGTATTGATTGCTGCCTTCCTGTTCCTTCTTTCTTGAATCTTATCCAGTGTATCAACAGTGATCCATTCGTTGTGTTGGTGCTTCTTGTGACCCAGGACCTCATGACAAGTTGAAGTGATTGCCTCTTTTATCCCATTCCAGTTGCTCTCCACAGTAGTTCCTTCTCCATTGAGTAGATCATGAAAGGCCTGGAACTTGTTGCTGAGGACTATCTTGAATTTGTTGAGTTTGTTAGTATCCTGAAGAAAGGCCGTATTGAACTTTTGTGATATTGTCCGCCCCATTGTCCAGTGCTTATTGAGTTTCAATTTCATCTTGGCGACCAGCAAGTGATGATCTGATGCTATATCAGCTCCTCTCTTGGTTCTCACGTCCTCTATAGTCCTCCTGAACGTTTTGTTGATGCAAATATGATCGATTTGGTTTTGCGTGGTGTTATCCGGTGAAGTCCATGTGGTTTTGTGAATGCCTTTATGTGGGAATATGGTGCCGCCTATGACCAGTTTATTGAAAGCACATAGGTTTGCAAATCTCTCAACATTTTCGTTTCTTTCTCCCAGTCCATGTCGTCCCATGATGTCTTCATATCCAGTGTTGTCCGTTCCAACCTTGGCGTTGAAATCTCCCATCAGAATGGTCAGGTCCTTTGTTGGGCACTTCTCGACGATTGACTGCAGCCTATTGTAGAATTGATCTTTAGCGTCTTCATTGTAATCGTTGGTAGGCGCATAGCATTGGATAATATTCATTGTAATGCCCTCCTTTTTTGTTTTGAAGGAGGCTTTGATGATCCTTGGTCCATGAGATTCCCATCCTATAAGCGCATTTTGCGCTTGTTTGGACAGCATCAATGCAACTCCTTGTGTATGTGGGGCATTTTCTTCTTCATAGCCGGAGTATAACAGAAGCTCTCCTGAAGTTAGTCGTTGTTGTCCAACTTGCGTCCAATGTGTTTCACTGACCCCAACACCTCTAGGTTGTATCTCCTCATTTCTGCGGCAATTTGGAGGGCTCTTCGGTGTCCCACATTGTACGAACATTCCATCTACTTAAATAAATGGTTGTTCTGGTTGTCAGAAGGGGCATCGGCCTCGTAACTTCCGAAGAAATTCGGCTTTCATCATGAGGCGTCATAGTTCTTCTAAATGAAGACCTTCTGACTCCCAGGGCAGAGGTTAAAAGGTTTGAATAATTCTTTCTGGTTAGCGTTTTTTTAGCGAGTTAGTTTTCTACGAGATGGGGACTCTAACCCCATGCCCAACCCTCCTCCTTTATCCGGGCTTGGGACCGGCAGTAGCCCCCGGAGGGACTCCAGGAGGAGTTGAGCTCCAGTTACCGCTTAAATATTGAATGACCTAAAATTAGTTTCTAGCCTTCATTAATATTCATTTACAACTTTCAATACCATTGAGTTAAAACACTGTCATTATCACTACTATTATGACTAATCATTACTTACTAATAATGATTATATTACTCAATCACCCTATACTTGTTTGATACATCAGATTTTGTTTGGATTCAACCCTATATTCATTTGGAATCAAAGTTGAATTTGTAAAGAAAACAAAATCTCTAACTGAAATTGTTCACTTCTTTTGTCGCTCAAATGTCTAGCTACTGTACTCTGTTAACTACTAAACGATTTCGATTACTGATACAAAAATTTGGAAAATTTACGTAGGAGTCACTAGATTTGAATGGTAAGTACACTTTTTATACAAACTGTATATATATATATATATATATATATATATATATATATATATATATATTAAATGGAATGTTTCCAATTTATTGTTAATATATATATATTTTTAAAAACAGTTCCAAACTTAATTAGAAGTCTAAAATTACTGGATATTTTGTTAGAATTACTCAATTCAGAAACAGATGATTATTCTACATACCATGAAAATCTATAGCAAAACGCTGATACAGTTTGTCTAATAAATGCGTAGAAAAAGCAACTATGGCTATCAGATAGGGTCTCGTCTTTATTATTATGATAGATGGCTACTACGTCAAGATAATGTCCCACATATTCAATTATGATTACTTGTGTGTTTCTGACTCTTAATTCAATCAACATACTAGATCACTTTCTTTAATCTACAAACTTCCTCAAGTTTCCGGTTATACCCGATATGAAATATTCCTACATGGGAATGCAAAAGAGATGAGGTAGAAAAGATAGTATGTTAAACGGCCAGACAGCTTAAAGATGAGCTTCTGGAAAATTCCAGGCATGTTTTGAACAATACAGACGCAGAAAAAATAGACGTTTCATCACAAACACAAAGTCCTTTGAAGAGGATAAGATTGGTACATTCCATATTTTCTAAAACTTAGAGATCATAACCCCAGTTCTGATATTTACCCAACCGATTGCGTAAGACTAAAGTATCAATAATGGTAGATTTATCCCAATTTCGAATTTGTTCTGACCGAAAGTTCTCTTACTGTTTATTAATCGTTGCGTGTGATGTTTATTGAATACAAGCCAGTAGCCACACATGTGAATTAAACTATAATCAGATATCTGTTCTTAAAATCTATCAATATTTCTTTTACTCCGACTTGGGAAAGAAATATAGACCAATCCTTATCAGTGATGTATACTAATATGAATCTGTTTGTGATTACATTAAAAAATAACAGTGAGTTGGTCATGAAACATATGTGAAGATTGGTTAATTTATTATGTGGCCACCAGTCTAGGTGACTCGGCACTGCGGGCAACACGATCGATAGCATTGGATCTGCACTAATGAGGACTGGACAAGCATGACATTGATCACCACCCAGTGATCAATCAATTGTGATTACATCTCAGTCCTACAGGAGGTTAGTCACAGCTCGGATAGCTCAGTGGTAACGTCTCTGACTGTGAAGCTGGGTGACACGCGATCGAATCGGCCAGGGAGCACCAGTTCCCTCAAGATTACAGGTACACCTTGCTGACGAGTGCCAAGTAGCACGAAACCCGGGTGCAGGGATTCCTGTTGACTACCTCCAACCACCATCCAAATCTCAATACATTGTGCCCGCAGTGTCGAGTCACCTAGACTGGTGGCCACATTGCAACACGATTGATAGCATTCGATCTGCACTAATAAGGACTAGACAAGCATGACATTGATCACCACCCAGTGATCAATCAATTGTGAAAATCTAGGTTACACTAAACACCTGTCAAATATTGTAGCTATGTTAATATGTGTAGATTCGATCCGTTATTATTTAGTACATTTTCATTATATATACATTAAGATTGTTAAGCTATCGTTTTGCAGTAAAAATTGAACAATACACGAGAACAACCACTGTTAGCGTTACCATATCATGTTTCTCAGTTTCTAATTTTAGTGTAGATTGAACTTCTGCTCTTAATGACCATAAGCATATTTCCCTTTAGCTGTAAATACTGTCATCTGTTGTATCCAGACACCAAACGTTCATCGGTATAGTTACATAGACTTCACTATATTTCATAGTGAATGTAATGATCTGGCTAAATTACAAAGTTATTTCATGCATAGAAAATCATGACATTTGTATAGGTAGAACTCAGATGAACATCAATCATGGTGAATTTACTTTTGTATTGGTTGTTTGAATCCTCCCATTAATGTTTGGGACTGTGAATGGTAAGTCTCTTGACGGCGTATGCGCATCTTATGCAGACTGCCTCGATATTGCCTCAGGTCACAAGCATTGTAAGCAGAGTGGACATTAAATATAAGATGCAGGTACATCCCAAATGGGATGAAACGCTCGTCCTAGATTCCACTGCTGGCCACCATCAACTCTGCCTATAATCATGATAAATGTTTAAACTTTCCGTTTTATTTCTTTGAAAATATTTCTGAGATTAAGCTTTGCTTATCATTAAAAAATGAACTTCTATTTATAGAAATGATGGCTAAGATTAGCTAAACCAAGATAAGATATCGACTCATAAAGTCGTTAGCTGTTGAAATGAGTCGTGTAAAGCAGTGAAAAGCTCTTGTTTATGGTCTGCGCGGTTATGGTATTATTTTGATTGAATAGCATATGTGATATGTTTCAAAGTCACTACTTATTTCTAAGCTTCTTCTAAAGTATTGGCTTCGTCATTATTTAATACTCTTTATTTCGTTACTTAACTTGTTCTTTATTTCACTGTATCTACAATACGTATTTAGTCAGTGACGATCATTTTTATTGTTTGCTTTTTGTCTTGGTAATTTTGTCATAGTAAGTAATGAGAATTTATCAAACTGTCTTAATATTTATTTCACTTAGTTTCTACCTTGTTTATGATTATTCTCAAATCAGATTTATTTGTACATTTAAAATGACTTATTTTAACTTGATACAATGAAACCAATTCATATTACCTAGTATATGGTAGCTATTTTAGTTTAATTAAATATCACATTTTGGGGGAGGCATGGGATACAGTGGACATCTAGGATGCAGTTGGACGATCTAGACTTCACAGATGATCTGGCCCTTCTATCTCAAACGCAACAACAAATGCAGAAGAAGACGAACAGTGTGGCAGCAGCAATAGGTCTCAATATACACAGAAGGAAAAGCAAGATTCTCCGATACAACACAGCATGCACCAATCCAATCACAATTGACGGAGAAAATTTGGAAGATGTAAAAACCTTTACATATTTGGGCAGCATCATTGATGAACATGGTGGATCTGATGCGGATGTGAAGGCGCGGATCGGCAAAGCAAGAGCAGCATATTTACAACTGAGGAACATCTGGAACTCAAAACAACTGTCAACCAACACCAAGATCAGGATTTTCAATATAAATGTCAAGACAGTTCTACTGTATGGGGCGGAAACCTGGAGAACTACGAAAACCATCATCCAGACAATACAGGTGTTTATTAACAGTTGTCTACGCAAAATACTTCGGATGTGTTGGCCAAACACTATAAGAAACAACCTAGTGTGGGGGAAAACAAACCGGATTCCAACGGAGGGAGAAATCAGGCAGAAGCGCTGGAAGTGGATAGGACACACATTGAGGAAAGCACCCAACTTCGTCACAAGACAAGCCCTCACATGGAATCGTCAAGGCCAAGGGAGAAGAGGAAGACCAAAGAACACATTACGCCGGGAAATGGAGATGGACATGAGAAAAGTGAACAACAATTGGATGAAACTAGAAAGGAAGGCCTATAGTATCAGTCATTATATTAAGCCCATGTACCTTGTTCTAACTTTCGGACAAACTAATCTATTCATTCTACTTGAGTCACATTTCAACCTTGTTAATTATTCACTTATCAGTCTTCACTGTTTTTATATGAGAGCATATGTGTGTGTACATTTCTTATCCCACTATTCATCACATATCTGTAGCTTATTTTTGTGTGACTATAAATATTGATTAACGCTCGACTAAATGGAGTTGGCTTACGTGCCAACTCCACTGCGCGTCGTTTTGCTTCACTCTGTTCCATTCGCTTCATATACAAAATATATGTATTCAAAAGTCCATTCTCGTTATTTGACTTATTTGATTCCGTTATTGACTAACGCGATTTAAGTTGATGATTATATACGGGGATAGGCGATATATGCACTTCGACAGCAATCATTCATACGATCTACGTGGAGTCAGATCTCGGGCCACTAAGGTGGAGAGCCCGTCAACAAACATCGTCCGATCTAAATAACGACAAAAATAAAAGGCCCCAGAGGCCTAAGACAGAGTGGATTGGAGAATGCTGATCGGCGGCCTATGCTCCACTGTTAGTAACAGGCGTAAGTAAGTAAGTAAATATAAATTTAAAGTATTATTCTAATTCGGATATTCAGATTAAAGACCACCTTTAGTTATCTAAATTAATAAATGAACAATGAATGTGGTAAAATAAATTAGAATTCTATTTTCATATGATTATTTCTCATTTGAAATTTGATATCTCTTAAAATATTATTTATTTATTAAACAAATACAAGCTAAAGAATAACTCGATGGTTTTTTTATTTATCATGTTTTGTTTTTCTCTCTTTTCATGTAATATATTCCATTGTTAATTGATTGAAAGACTCTAGAAGTTGCATAATTTATAACTGATGACTGGTGGTGTAATGATTGGTGTAATATTGATTTCTAAAGGTTATATTTCAAAATAATATTTTCTACTTATCTAACATTTCAATTTACATTTTTTTTTAAAATCACAATATAGTGTGCTGTGTTTCTTTCTTCACATCATTGTATTATGATGGATTAAATAAAAGAGGTTTTATATCCTCTAAGTTTTCCCTATAACGAAAACTATCTAAATAAAGAGTTTATAACATAGTCTGACTAGAAAAATGTTGATTGATTGTTCAATCAAACTTGTACTGTTATATATTTGTTTTTAACAAAATACTATAATATATGCATACGTAATTTTACATAGAATTTTCTATATTTTTAATACTATCAGTAAACTGAAACTTTTCATGAACAGAATAATATGATACAAGTATTCCAACCTGTTGAAATATTCCAGCCAACCATAGTTCCGTATGACGGAAGAGTTATACATTCGGAATAAAACTGAAATATAATCTAATCAATAATTTGTATAGCCAAAGAATAAATAAACCCATAGAATGTATGTGTTTGTTGGGAGCTATGGAGAATTCCCCCATTAACAGAGAACAAGATGAAAACACTATATTCAGTCAGTCCAGAATGATAAAGAAAACAATGGACAATGAAAACGTTTTTTCAAATTTTCCACTGAATATATTTCAAATGAAGACAACCAATAACGATGGTCCGTCCAATGAACGGAAGGGTGGAGAGATGGATAAGTTAAAACGTCCAAAGATGGAATGGCACAGTAAATTTGTCATTAAGTTATAGGTGTATCAAACGTAACAATCATATCAAAAGAGAGGAACTGTAGTTAGCTTTCGAAAATCTGTCGGAATATTCTCCAGAAGCTAGGAGGAGGCTGAAAACGCTCAAATGTAATTCCTCAGAAATCTCCAGACTAACTGTGGGTTATTGTTATGATAGTATTAAAAAGGCAAAATTACATTCTTTACTCATCATGGTTGATATTCAACATTACTTCAATCTTTTTTAATTCAATGTAATGATTACTCAGTGTAGTAGTTGGTTTGTTTCCAAGTGTGATATTTTATTCGTTATAACATTGATTTATTTCAGTGTGATGAGATTGTTCAGGATACGATAGATATTCTTGTATTAAATTAATATGAACTATACTGAGCATGACGTTACTGACTTACTTACTTACGCCTGTTACTCCTCGTGAAGGAGCATAGGCCGCTCACCAGCATTCTCCATCCAACCCTGTCCTGGGCAATCCTTTCTAGCTCCGTCCAGTTGTAATTCATCGTTTTCATATCTGCTTCTATTATCCGACGCAATGTGTTCTTTGGCCTTCCTCTTTTTCGCTTCCCTTCAGGATTCCAAGTTAGCGCTTGCCTCGTGATGCAGTTTGACGATTTGCATAATGTATGTCCTATCCATTTCCATCGTCTTTTCCTAATTTCTTCTTCAGCTGGAACTTGGTTTGTTCTCTCCCACAGAAGGCTATTGCTGATGGTATCCGGCCAATGGATGTTGAGTATCTTGCGTAGACAGCTATTTATAAATACTTGTACCTTCTTGATGGTGGTTGTTGTAGTTCTCCAAGTTTCAGCTCCATACTGTAGAACTGCCTTGACGTTCGTATTGATAATTCTCACTATGATATTGGTTGAAAGTTGTTTTGAGTTCCATATGTTCTTTAACTGTAGGGATGCTGTCCTTGCTTTGCCAATCCTTGCCTATACGTCTGCATCTGAACCTCCTTGTTCATCGATGATGCTTCCTAGGTATGTGAAGGACTCTACATTTTCCAGAGTTTCGCCATCAAGAGTGATTGGATTGTTGTTTTCTGCTTTGAATTTGAGGACTTTGGTTTTCCCTTTATGTATGCTGAGGCCTACTGATGCAGAGACTGCTGCTACACTGGCTGTCTTTATCTGCATTTGTTCGTGTGTATGGGCTAGAAGGGCCAGGTCATCTGCGAAGTCCAAATCGTCTAATTGATTTCGAGCTGTCCATTGTATTCCGTGTTTTCCTTCAGATGTCGAGGTCTTCATAATCCAATCGACCACCAGAAGAAAGAGGAAGGGAGAGAGTAAACAGCCTTGTCTGACTCCGGTCCTTACTTGGAATGCATCTGTCAGCTGTCCTCCATGCACGACTTTGCACTGTCGTCCGTCATATGAGTTCCGGACAATGTTGACAATCTTCTCAGGAACTCCGTAGTGTCGAAGAAGTTTCCATAATGTCCTCCTATCTACACTGTCGAATGCTTTTTCATAATCAATGAAGTTGATGTATAGTGATGAGTTCCACTCAACTGATTGTTCGACGATGATCCGTAGTGTTGCAATTTGGTCTGTGCACGACCGATCCTTACGGAATCTAGCTTGTTGATCTCGAAGTTGGGCGTCTACTGCATCCTTCATCCGGTTCAGCAACACTTTGTTGAAGACTTTACCTGGTATTGACAGCAGTGTAATGCCTCTGTAGTTTTCACATTTGCTCAGATCTCCTTTCTTTGGAATCTTGACGAGGTGTCCTTCTTTCCAGTCCATCGGCACTTGTTCCTCCTCCCAAATCTTTTTGAATAGAAGGTAAAGCATTCTTGTGGTTGCTTCGATGTCTGATGTCAGTGCTTCAGCTAGGATGTTGTCGGGTCCTGCTGCTTTCCCGTTCTTGATTTGTCTGACGGCCATTCTAATTTCTTCCTTCGTTGGTGAGTTGACATCTATAGGAAGATCTATGTGTGCTGCTTCGATGTCCAGTGGATTCATTGGAGCCGGCCTATTCAGGAGTTCCTCGAAGTATTCTACCCATCTGTTCCGCTGTTGTTGAATTTCGGTGATTGGCTTGCCTTCTTTGTCTTTGACCGGTCTCTCTGGTTTACTGTATTTCCCTGCTAGTTTCTTCGTTTTATCGTGAAGCTGTTTCATATTTTCTTCTCTTCCAGCCTTTTCCGCCGTCGTTGCTAGTTCTTCCACGTATTTCTTCTTGTCGACTCTAATGCTCCGCTTCACTTGTTTGTTTGCTTCTATGTATTCAGCTTGTGCTTAGACTTTCTCTGCTCGTGTTCGGCTGTTGTTAAGTGCTGCCTTCTTGTTCTTCCTTTCTTTTATCTTGTCCAGTGTTTCTGTAGAGATCCATTCCTTATGATGGTATTTCTTTAGACCGAGAACCTCTTGACACGTTGAAGTTAACGCTTCCTTGATGCCTTTCCAGTTGTCCTCCATACTAGTTTCTTCTTCTTTCAGTAGATCTTGTAAGACTTGGAACCTGTTGTTGAGAGCTATCTTGAATTCATTGAGTTTGTCAGTATCTCGAAGGAAGGCCGTATTGAACCTTTGTAGTGCTGTTTGTCCACTTGTTCAGTTCTTTTTTAGCTTCAGTTTTAAATTGGCCACAACTAGGTGGTGATCTGAAGCTACGTCAGCACCTCTCCTGGTTCTCACATCTTCCATTGTCCTTCGGAAATTTTTGTTGATGCAAATATGATCTATTTGGTTCTCCGTAGTGTGGTCCGGTGAGATCCATGTAGCCTTGTGTATACGCTTGTGTGGAAATATTGTGCCTCCTATGACCAATTTGTTGAATGCACATAGATTTGCAAATCTTTCTCCATTTTCGTTTCTTTCTCCCAGTCCATGTCGTCCCATAATATCTTCATATCCAGTGCTGTCTATTCCGACTTCGGCATTTAGATCTCCCATCAGAATAGTTAGGTCCTTTCTTGGGCATTTCTCAATGACTGACTGAAGCCGCTCGTAGAACTGATCTTTAATGTCGTCGTTGCTATCATTTGTGGGTGCATAACATTGGATAATATTCATTAAAATCCCCTCCTTCTTTGTTTTGAACGATGCTTTGATGATTCTGGATCCGTGAGATTCCCATCCTACAAGTGCATTTCGTGCTACTTTAGACAGCATAAGAGCGACTCCCTGAGTGTCTGGAGCATTGTCCTCCTCATGACCGGAGTAAAGCAGAATCTCTCCCGTAGCTAGCCTTTTCTGTCCAGCTTGGGTCCAGTGGGTTTCGCTGATTCCCAGTACTGCTAAGTTGTATCTCCTCATTTCCATTGCTATTTGACTGGCTTTCCCGGTCTCCCATATTGTTCGAACGTTCCATGTACCTATAAAAATTTTTGCTCTGGTCGTTAGAAGGGGCATCGGCCTCGTGGCTTCCGAAGGAACTCGGCTTTCTCCATGAAGCGTCATAATTCTTCTAAAAGAAGACCTTTTAACTCCCAGGGCAGAGTTTAAATGGTTTGGATTATTTTTTCTTTATATATATATGATTTTATCCTAATTAATGGGATGGGATGGGCGTATAAATGATATATAAACGATTGTATTTTGGACTGTGGTCGTTCTCGTGTTTTGGGATTAATAAATTTTCACTCGTATCAGTCATGGTGTTCTTACTTCACGTCATGGGAATTGTATCTGAATACCATATATTAAATCGTCAATTTGCAAAATATTCACGCATCAAACCAAACTGGATTGTTTCTGTTGCAAACACCAATCCATTTTCTCCCATTCCATTGTTCATAGGTTTTCTTACAAATTCCATTATGTTCTCACCCCACCTTTTTTTGATCTTCGCCATCTTTTGCTGCCAGACATTACGTTTTTTAACGCACATTATACACTACTTATATCAATATAAGTAGCTCACACCACACTATCATAACATAATAAATTTGATCAAAAATATATTCCAAATTCAGAAATATTATCTGGCTAATAAAAATATTTATAAAATAAGCAAAGATATAGGAATATCTAATGAAGAATTAATAGAGTACCTGCAAAGATATTGAATAATAAATTAAAATTACAAACACAAAAAAATCATCATTATCATATATATATATATATATATATATATATATATATATATATATATATATATATATATATATATATATATATATATATATTTATTTATTTATTTATTTATTTATTTATTTATTTATTTATTTATTTATTTATTTATTTATTTATGAATAATAGTACAATGTCCTCTATACTTGGCTGTACTTGTGAGTCAATATAAGTGAAATTTTAACTTATATCAAATCATATTTTATATTTCTCAGTCTCAGAATTCAATTTTACCCTAACTGACAGATAATGTGTTTTTGTTTGTGCTTGTGCATTCGTATCTTCGACA